CTCCGAGATGGCGCTGCCGCGCTCCGCTTGGCCCGGGCGGGCTGCCCTGCCGTTAGCCGCGCTGGTGGGGCTCCTTTTCCTTTGCCTGAACCCGGGTGAGTCAGCCGAGCGGGGGGCGTGGCGGGCAGTCCCCGCGCGCTCGGGGAAGGGGCAGGCGAGCGATTGCGAAACGGGCCGCCGCAAGTGGCCGTGGAGGGGGGGGGCGCTTAGCCAAATTAATTATTTGCATAATAGCCTAGGAGAGGCACCTCCCCTCCGGTCTTGAATGGGGAATGCTCCCTTAATGACGTCAAGGGAGCAGGGACGCACCTGGCTTGCCATCCTTCTAATCACAATTCCGGGGTAACTCCGGATTCCAGAAGTGCTGCCCCGCTGCGCGAGCTCCCTCCCGCCGCACATCTGTAACTGCGGGGAGGCAGACGTGTTCTTTGTGCTCCAGCTGTTGCGTTTTCGTTCCTCAGCAGCTTCGAACGGGCCGATCTCATGGCAAAGACAAAGGCCCCCGGGTTTTTCAAGGATGGATGAATGACGGGCAGGCGTGGGGGTGAAAAGAAAAATACTGCAGCGGGTGCAGTCATCTGGGTTTGGGATTGGATGTCAGCCAGTTGGGATAGGAAAAGGGGATGGTGTTGTCAGCCCCCCTTGCAATAACCACGGGTACTGGCAGTGCTGGTTAGTTGCATGTCAAGGGTACAATTGGAGTCCTGATCTTTGATAGAGATCAGTGAAGGATGATAATGCACATCTTCCGTATAGATCAGGGTTTCTCAAACTTGGCAACTTTAAGATGTGTGGACTTCATGTGTGGCATGGCTGGCTGGGGAATTCTGGGAATTGAAGTCCACACATCTTAAAGTTGCCAAGTTTGAGAAACCCTGATATAGATGCTCTTGACCCTGACATGCTGGTGGGGTGGGGTGGGGTGGCTGTGTATAATAGAATTGTAGTTCAACACATCTTGAAGGCCCCAGATTTTGGAAATATAGTATTGAGCAGCAAGATTCTGCCTGGACCCACCAGCACCTGTTTTTGCCTTTTCCCCCCTAGTCTGATGAACCAGGCAGAATCGCTTGTTTCTAAAGGTGGTTCACACCAAGATGGGTGGATGGTACTTTTCTTTTTCCTTTCTTTCTTAAAAAACAGTGCTACTGTGTACTAATTTTTTCAAATCAATGCCAACATTTTTTGTGCATGTACAGCTCTAGAAACTAATTAATAAATCGTATGGCCTGGATATAAATGTGTAGCTGACTGCTAGAAGGTCAAACCAGTCAATCTGAAAGGAAATCAATTCTGACTGCTCATTGGAAGGATTGATAATGAAGCTCAAGCTCAGATACTTTGGTCACCTAATGCGAAGAGAGGACTCTTTGGAAAAGGCCCTGATGCTGGGAAAGATTGAAGGCAAAAGGAGAAGAGGACGGCAGAGGATGAGATGGTTAGATAGCATCACTGAAGCAATGAACATGAAATTGAGCAAACTCTGGGAGATAGTGAAGGACCAGAAGGCCTGGCATGATATGGTTCATAGGGTCACGAAAAGTCAGACACGACTTAACAACAACAAAAATGTAGTTATATTTTCAAGTATGTGGGGACTTTTCCTGAAATAGACAAGCTTCTTTGACAAAGAGTTTAGCTACATGGTCTTAGTCGTTCACTGATGTATGTTTGGAAATGCACATCATATACCACGGTTTCTTTTAAGTACTGAAGCACAGAGAAGGAAAGTTATTTGTGTTCTTCAGTCACATAATTACATCTGTCTAAAAAGTAACATTGTATAGGAAGAATGTGCATTTATACACTTAACTACTTAATTTTGTTTTGCTTCATTTAGGTGTTTCAAAGGGAAATAAACTTAAGCTGATGCTTCAGAGAAGAGAAGGTAAGCCTGTCTAAGATGATATGAATTCTCTTACATGTTATTTGGAAAAAATAATTAAAAATAAATAACTACATATTCTGCCTGCCCAATTTCTTCCCTATAAATTAAGAGAAAGTGACTTGGCTAAAAAAAATGCCTTTCCATAGTGGCCTGTTCATCCTGAACAACTTTTCCCATTCAATTAGTTGACTCAGATCTGTAGCAAAAACATAAACTTGGAAAATCAGTAATGTCTATCCTTTAAACCCTACATCTAAATCTGATTTCTATAAGAGAAGAGGCGGTCACCATTTCAGGTTACAAAATAGAAGTGGAACATATACATCTTTCAGGCCTTTTCCTATGGCTAAATACAGAGCTCCCCGACAATGACTGAGCCGAAACCGTAACAGCCTAAACTTTGCAGAGTAGGGAGTGTGGATTTAGGACACTTTCAATGGTTTGCATCCATGTAAGCTTACTCTGAAAGAATGTAGATCTGGCTTTGGGAAGGAGGAAGAGAGCAATGAACCAATTACAAAGAATATTTGTAGCTTAGGGTTGGAATGTTGAGATCTTGGGTTTTTTCTTGCAAATGTTTCATGGCCAAACTAGGTAACATCATCAGCGCTACACCTAGCGATCAACATGTAGATAAGAATGAACCAAGACAATAGCCAGGAACGATCTAAGATGAAATAATTCAGCCAGGTGGGTTAGTCAGAAAGAAGCACATGAACTACAACAACCCTGTTGAAGATAGCTATGTATAAAAAGCTAGCAAACATCACTTCCTTGCATCAAAGCGCTGACAGTGTTACCTAGTTTGGTAATAAAATATTTGCAGGAAGAAACCCAAGTTCCATGAACACCAAGATCTCAAGAGAGCAGTGAACCTTAAGCTGGGAGAAACAGCAATTCAGTCCTGTCAAAGTAGAAAGTGTGAGAAAGAAACTCATAATAACCCACCTTGATTTGGGGCAAAGAGAAACTCTGACAAGCTTTCAAGATTCTGTTCCTACAACAGTAAAGAGCACTCCTGGAGTCCTTGCTGCTGCTTTTCTTGACCTTGCCTATCTCAAAGGACTGATACCTACTAAGAGTTGATCAGCATGCTCCTTAGGCGGAACAGAAACAAGTTTGGAAAGACTGTGAAAACCTTTATGGAGGAACCCCACTCCTTAGTAGCTAAGGTGCTTTTAGGTGGACTTGCAAGTGGGTTTAGGTGGACTCAGCAGCTGGGCATTGGAATTGCCCAGTAAAGTAGGAGAATCTACCTCGTGGGTGGCCCTCACCTATGGACCAGCTGTACAGTGGACTTGTTTTGGCAAGAGTTTAGTGTAGTGTTTTTCAAGCTTAACAACTTTAAGTTGTGGGGACTTTAACTCCCAAGTCTAAATGTTCATGCTATCTAACATTTAATATACCTAATATATTAGTTATTAGTTATATAACTATATAACTACTGTGCAATCATTAATTATTTGCATAATTATTACTAAGCATGTCCTCAGGTGTTCAGATTCAAAGTTACTGTGTCACTGCAAATTGTCTTATAAGACTGCTTACAGTTGCTTGTTTAATTAAGATATGTAGCTTTTCTTTGAGATAATTACCTGAAGGGTGATTAAGTGACCATGTCTGAATATAAACAAAGTATATATCCTATGACTAAGCTTTTGATTTACACCTAAACATTTTATATTATCTTACCCAATATTATTTGTACTGTAGTAGGGTACAGTCACTTCAGATTCTATATCAGTGTTTCTCAACCTTAGCAACTTTAAGCTGTGTGGACCTCAACTCCCAGAATTCCCCAGCCAGCTAAGTTGCTAAGGTTGAGAAACACTGTTCTATATAGTATATAGTACTTGTTTTCAGAACAAAATATTCAGAATTTCTAGAATTTGAGAGCACCTCTGTCTATAGTTACCTTTTAAAAAAAAATCTAATCTTCATTATAAAAAACAAAATAAGAACTAATTGCAGGTTTCACTTAGTACATTCGTATCATCATAATAAAGTTATGTTATGAAATAGAAATAGGACACTGTTATTAAGAAGAAAAAAGACAGCTAGAATCAGTAGAGACTGAATAGACTTTGTAGGAAACAATTCATCCTAGACGATATTTTCTACCATGAAAATCAGAAACTGGGCCATAATCACAGAACTCAGGTGAAAAAAAAGCATGTTAAGAATTTATTTTTTTATTCAGGGATTGTGTTATGCTGATAACATAGGGAAATACTTTATAACAATGGTATTTTTCTTCACCTCTTGCACAGAGTATTCAGTGTAGTCAACATATGACCGATGAACCTGCTAGAAATATCTACACTATTTAGAATGAGAACTGTTGGCTTTTATAGATCCTACGTTTTTGATCTTTGTTTAAGCTCCTGTTCTGATAAAGGAGGAGGTGTCTGTTAAAGAAGATAAGGCCAAGGAATTCTTAAACAATCTGAAACGTCAGAAGCGCCAGCTTTGGGACAGAAGTCAACCTGATGTACAGCAGTGGTACCAGCACTTCCTCTATTTGGGTTTTGATGAAGCTGTAAGTGGCCCCGTTGTGTTTTAACTTCAAAAAAAGTAATTCAGTGATCTTAAGCACTGGGGAAATCACTTTGGATTCAGGATAGTTTCTTCATGTTTTATTTTCTTTGAAATAAGGCTTTGTATTTCTGTTTTGGGTAGTTATAGACACAATATGGACATCTTATTATATTTATTAGAGTAGATATCTTGATCATAGGAATCATCCCACTTATTATAAGTGAATTTGAGAAGACGAAGCTTTGAATACTTGATAATGGTCACAGCAGGTCTTCCTCGATAACTGCTTCAGGAATCCACTCAAAGCAATTTAACTTGACTCTATGGCAAAGTTTCTCTGGAAAATGCGGCTATTGAATGACATGAATGCACAGGAGAGTATTTCAGCATTATGATCTTACTAAGGCCTAAATGGTACATGCAAACAAAACACATTTGTATCATGGATAAAGTAGTTCATACTGCAAACAGTAGCCTGGAATTATATGTTCTGTCCCCCTGCTCAACCTTCTTGCCAATTACTGTCCTAGAAGTGGAATTCCAACACTTCTTCAGCATGGGAAGTTAATGAATCAATTTTCCATGCAGGCATTTTACCTGTCAAATTAAACCAACACTTTAATTTCAAGATACAGTGTATGTGTGTGTGTGTGTGTGTGTGTGTAGAGAAAGAGAGAGAGAGAGAGAGAGAGAGAGAGAGAGAGAGAGAGAGAGAG